TTATCATGCCTAAGGGGAAGTTGTGTGTTAAAAACCACCAACGGTTAAGCCAGCTGGGGATGTGGCATTGCCTCTTCCAGTATTCTGAGGAGACCTGTAAGAATTCTCAGGGCTTCTCAAAGTCCCTGGCTTCCAGAAACAAGAGCTCAGCTGAGCATTGGGTCTTCATTTAAGGAGGAATTTGGAAAAATAAGAGAAATATCAAAACTTTTAAGAGGTTAATACTAAAGTTGTTACATCTAAAAATCAAGGGTGAACTATAGAGGTTTTGACTCTATAGAAAGGGTTCTTGAATAGTTTTATTTAAATGTCCTTTGGGTTGAGCTGAGACAAGTTTATTTTCTTTCAAACCAAAGGACAGTATTATCATTGTGGGGGATGGCACACAGAATTATATTGAGTGGTAAGAAAGGGGATAGCGCAGAAGGGAAATAATAACAGTCGTGTGACTGCTATGCTGATAGATACTGTACTGAAGCAACTACTGGTATAAGAGGGTGAGAGAACTACACTAGATGTTATGGACAAGCAGGATGGGAGAGACGGGTGTTACTTTACAGCAACCTGGTCAGGTAAAGGAGTTGAAGGGTTTACAAGTGCCTCACGCAAGGTCGAAGAAGCCACACTCCACCTCCCATTTGGTGCCCCCTTTGTCCCTCTCCTTTGCCCATGAAGTATAGGACTTTTCTTACCCTTTTCTCCTTCCCCAAGTCTCAGCCAAAATGACTGAACCCCCAGGCAGCCAACCATACCTACCAGGCTGCAGGAAGAACTGCAGGACTAAGGTCTGAGAAAGATAAAAATGGGAAAGATACAAACAGAGCTAGGTTCTTCCCTTCCAGGAGTCCTCTGAGGAAGCACTGGATTGGTGAACTCTGGCCAGGGAGCTGGGCAGATCCCTACCTCCCTCTCACTATTTAGCCAGAGCTCTTTATCCCAGCTCCCATCCTGGCCACAGCCCCTTTGGGACTCCTTGGCACCAGGGACTCCCAACTCTCCCAAGATACTCTGTTACCAGTGTTTATGGTCAACTCACAAGGCATTGTGTTTCAACACCTGCTAATATCACATGGGAACACAGATAAACTTCATTTTTATTTTCCCTGGCTCACTGAAACTGCCAACAGAGGAGCTTAAAGGCTAAATTCTTAATCTTGCCTTTAAACGCCATATGATTCACCACATCTGCAGTCATGGGGAATCTACGCTGCTACTTTTTACCTCTGCCTTGTGGGTAACCCCTACCTTCCACCTACCTCCACCCTCAGGGGAGAATGTGGGCCTCATCAACTGGAGGCCCTCAGGAGATTTTCCAAGGCTCACGAGATGTCAAGTCATCTCTAAAATTTTTCAAAAAACCAGAAAGTCATTTCAAAAAGTCTAACTTGGTGGCCCCACAGAGAGGAAGATAAAACTTTCCACACAGAGAGAACAAGCCTGTCCCACAGGTTTGTGTAAAGCTGCAGGAGTATTGGTACCCCAACTTTGGTGAAAATGATATTTTCACCCAAGCTGAGCTCCCCAACCCAGGGGGAAGTCCACCTAGGTGAATAGTTGAGCTGCTGCTTGGCACCCAGTGGCACATATTCATGAAATCTGCTTCCAGGGGATTTCCCTTTGCAGTGGAATCAATAAGGGTTTTGTCTTTCTGAGAGATTTCCCACAGGAATTCATTTGCCTCTGTGAAAAAATCTCAAATTCTAATATAAACTTTCTGAGCTGTTAGGTTTTTGAGAGTAGGAGTTGGTTTCTCATTGATTTCTCAGTCTGTTCAAATAAAGAAAAACAAACATAATAACAAACTACAATGGTGAGAATGCTTTTCAGTGAATGATTTGGGTGCTTACTTCATGCTAAGCACTGTATGGCACTGAGGATACACTGGTGAGCAAAACAGATGTGGACACTGTCCTCTAGAAGACTGATGTTTTAATTTCAGCTTTCAGTTTGTGTTTGTATTGAAAACGAGGTTGATATCATCCAGGGGGTATCCTTATATGATATTAAAATGGATATACCATCCAATCCTATGCCTCTTTCAAGGCGCAGTTTAAATGCAACCTCAAAGAGGGAATCAGGATTTGTTTGAATATGTAAAATAATTCTCATTGCCTACAGTGTGTGTGATTTGAAATGTCCCATCACCGCATGGAAGTGAATATCCAGAGGTACTTTCCAGCAGTCACAGCTACATGGGAAGTAAAGGATTGCAGCTATGAAAACATTTCTTAGTTGGGTCATCTTTCCTTTTCTTTCTACAGTTTTCAGTTCAATTTAACGGTCATTTATTGAACTCTTATGAGCAAAGCCCCATGCTGGGATGGTGGAAGATAATGAGAGAAAAGTACCTGCCCCTGTCATGCCAATCTTTGGGGAAGGCAATAATAACAGCTACCATTTAATGAGTGCGTATTAGGTACTTAAGTTTAGTACCTTATTTGCCTTCTCTAATTTAATCCTCACAACAACCCCTGTTAGGTGGATCTTATTATACAAATGTAATAGGTAAGGGAATCTAGACTTAGGTTACATAAGGTTACGTATCTGGTAAGTATCACACATGGGATTTAAATTCAGTTTCAAATAAAAAGTGATGCAGTCCTAACCTTTTGCTGTAAGGGATTCATTCATTATTGAGCACTTAATATATGCTAGGCATTGTTCAAGTTGTCTGAGCTGTATCAGTGAACAAAACAAAGATTCTTGCCCCCATGGAGCTTAGATGGGGATGGGGAGAGAGGGAGAGACAATAAACAGTGAAAAAAATTATGAATTATATAAGAGAAAGATGAAAGGAGAGAAGAATAAGAGGGATCAGGATTGTATGGGGGTGGGGAAAAAAAACCTGTTGCTGTTGAGACAAATCTGACTCATGGTGATCCCATGTGTTACAAAGTAGAACTGAGCTCCATAGGGTTTTCTTGGCTGTAATCTTTACAGAAGCAGATCACCAGGCTTTTCTTCTGTGGCAACACTGGGTGGGTTTGTTCTGCCAACCTGAAGGTTAATAGTCAAGTGCAAACTGTTTGTGCCACCCAGGGACCTTTATGGGGCTGGGAATGGGGAAGTAATTGGGGAATTGAAGACAGCTACAGAGTTTTAGCTTTGAGGACTTGGAAAATGGTGCCAGAGGCAGGACTTGGCTTGGGAGGGAAGAGATGAGGAGTTCTGTTTTAAACATATTGGGTTTGTGGGTTTGTGGATGCTATTGTGTCTCAATGTGAATTGGAGAAGATTGAGTTCCAGAGAAGGGTCCAGCTAGAGACCTAAATTTTGGGAGACATCACAGAGCAGGCTTTTGAAACTGTGGGACTAAATGAGTTCACCCTTCTAGCAGCCTTAAAGAGAATTCTTTTTATCTGTGACTATTCAGGCAAACTAGGAATTATACTACACCAGGCTCTCCCAGATTCTGAGGAAACAAAATTACTCAAAAGGTCAAGAGGAATTGATCCTGAGGGTAGGAACCTGAACCAGAAGCAAGGGCTAATTTTTATCAGTACACTTGGGAATTAGCTAGAGCTGGAAAGTACCCTGTGTGCCACAGACACTGTTTGCATGTAGCATTTTCTTAACCATATTTCAGTTTTGGGTCTTTTTCAGATTAATAAAATAGAATAGAAACATTTTTTAAAAAAACACGCTTGAGAATTGGAGTTTCCTTATGATGTTCTTCTGATTTTTTTTTCTTTAAAATGGAGAGTAAGTTTAGGAGAAAATACATTTAAAGAGGGAAGAATCCCTATTTCAGTATTAAAGTGCCAGAAACCTTAGTGTATCTGGCCTTTCTGGTGCACAACTATCTTTATCTGGAAAAAACTAATGTCATGTTTTGCATTTGATATTCCTTAAATAGGAGTGTGCCTTGGGGTAAAATTGTAATAGGTGCGATTTTACAATTTGAAAAGCCACCTGCTGTTACCTGGAGCTACCGGGCCTGCTTTGGAATTAATCTCATTAATCCATTTAACACCAGCCTGCTATAAGCCCCATCCCTTCCGTTCTTGTTCATTATCAATCAAGGCTGCTTAAACTCGTGATTTCCTTATTACACCGATATTTCAACCCCAGTTCCATTTTTAAGACTAAAAATTGTAGGGGCTGCTGGTCAAATTAAGGTCTTGCTTGGTCTGATGAAAATTCTGCTGTTCCTAGTGTCCTCTCCTTTCTGTGCCTAATTTAAGCAAAGGCTACTGCAGCTGAAATCCATTTCCTCCCGTAGGAAGGAAAGTGGGTGGGTAAAGAGAACAGTCAGGAATAAAGCCAGCAATCTATGCAGACACAGGCTGGATGTGCGGGTGCCAAAACTAACGAGAGATCCGTTCTTTACTCTAAGTGCATTTAGGTCACACTGATGGGCAAAGCACTATTCCGGGCCCCCATAAGGCTCTTCCCGCTCTTGCTATAGTCAACTCATTCTACAGAAACCAAAACCAAACCAAACCCATTGCAGTCGATTCCGACTAACAGTGACCCTATAGGACAAGTAGAACTGCCCCATAGTTTCCAAGGAGCGGCTGGTAGATTCGAGCTACCGACCTTTTGGTTTGCAACCAAACGCTTTACCACTGCACCACCAGGGCCCCCACTCAACAGAGTAAACCCTAAACCTCCACAAACCGAGTTTCACCCGGTAGGCTCAAGCCGCTCAGACCCCGGTTTCGCGCAAGCGCACACCGATCGTCTTCCGCCCGCCCTCCCACTCCCCCGCTTAGGGGTGGGGCCTCGGAGCTGTCTCCATGCTCGCCGTGACGCCTGCGAGAGCGGATGAAGCCTGGCCGGTGCCCCGGAAGCAGCCGCCACGACTTCCGGGAGGGGCTTGTCGCCTGTTGTGTGAGCTGCAGGGCCTGGAGACTGTGCTTGAAGTAGTGAGTGTACCAACATGTCCCGTGGTTCCAGTGCTGGTTTTGACCGCCACATTACCATTTTTTCACCCGAGGGTCGCCTCTACCAAGTAGGTGAGTGAACCGAGTCCACGTGTGGTCCATCCTAATTGCCCTGTCATGGTGCGGCCTTGAGCAAGCAGACGCGGCCACGGGTCTGATCTAGGGCTGAAGCAGGGCTTGATCTGGGAAAGAAGGACCGAGTCCAAACGGAGCCCCGTGGTGTTCCCACTCCCGTCTGAAGGCAGTACTCAGAGACCCGAAGAATGACGGCATAGCTCTCGTCAGGGCGAGCTACCGCATTGTCCGGGCATAATAAAGAATGAAGGGAAGTAGAACTGTAGTGCCTGACTGTGGCTTCCTGGCGCCCCTTCACTTGTTCTGTTCCAGCCTGGGTAGGTCCAGCATCTGTTCTTGTCTAAAGGATAATTGATTTCTTAATCTCCCAACGAAAACGCCCCTTCTCCATTTTCCTTTGTGTGCAACGTGAACTTCCTTGTCCTATGGTGAATTCCACACATGCATTCAGAGCCTACTTTGTGTCAGACACTCTGATGGTCTTAGGGATACAAAGATGAATGTCACACCCTCTCCCATACTGAAGCTCACAGTTTAAAGGGGATGACAGATACGTAAACAAATGGATAAAATGAAAAATGCCGAATTACAAGTTTCTACAGAGTTCAGGACATCTTTGGAAAACTGGTAAATCAGAATGAGTGGCCCGCAATTCTAGAGTTACTCTGAAATTTACATCCCCTGTTAGTCTGTTTGAAAGTTCTGTAGTTTAAAAGTGGCTTCTGAATTGTAGATGAGATAAGGTGAACTAGCTGTTTGCTGAAGCTCAGCTTAAACTCTAAGCTAGCCATCAGTTATTCAGTATAACAGTGTATTTTGTTGGCTTGAAATGGTGTCAGGTTTTAGGTTATGATTATAAGCCAGACTCTTGATCTCTTGCAATAGAGAATTTAGTATTAGGTGAGTCTGATTCATATTCTGGCCCATAACAATTTCATTTTTGAGTGAGTTTAGCACCTCAGGGCCTTGGTGCAGACAGTAATATATCATCTGTGCTTCGAGGGTGTTGGTATAAATGAAGTCCCCTTCATCTGTAAATTTTAAAAATAGAGTTAAAGATAACTTGGAATGATACCGAGTCCACTGTATGGTTACATACTATATATATTGTGGCAAGAAACAACTATTCTGACTTGTTCTAAAATCATTTTGGGTAACTCAGTATCACTTTTAGCTTATTATCCCCAAATGAAAAATATGATCAAAGATAGAAGAGATGATAACTGTATTCTCAAGGAAGTTTCATTTTTGGTGTTTCATTCCTGAGTTTTATAGACTTCTTTTATATTGGACAACTGCTTTCAGTGTTCTGGTTTATAGTTTTTATATGTGAACAGAAGAAGTCACATTTAGATCTACACTTCTGTATATTGATTGTGAAATCCAGTCATAAAGCATAGTCTTTAATGCTTCTTAGGTTTGAAGAGTAAGAAGACTGAGTATAATGTCATTTTAATAGTTTAAAAAGATTTGGAAGAGAACATATAGTTCAAAAACAAGCTTAATATCTAGATAGAATGATTTTAAGGTCTGCTTTGTTGAATAACTGACTCCCTCTGCTATTCAGGGCACTAGTTAGACATTACTGGGAAAAAGAAAGTGAAAGAGTAGTTAGTATGAGCAAGCAGTATAGGGGTGAGGAGTTCAGGCTCTGGAGCCATACCTGGATTCAGATCCCAGCTTGCTCCTTATTAGCAGACCTGGGACAAGTTGGTTTCTATTTGCAAAGATGATCTAATAAGTCTCTCTTTAGGGGGTTATTTTGAGGATTAAATAATGTGATGTATGTACAGTGCTTAGAATAGTACCTGTCACGTACTTAGTGCTCAATAAATATAACTGGATGCCTGTTTGATTCTTTGGGTCATTTTTTTGTCTATATTAGATTAGTAACTCTGTAGACATGGAATATTTCCATTTCTATGGGTCCATCATGCTTGATTTTCTAGTGAAATATATGTGCATAATCATATTGTAAATGCTGTTTATTTATAAATTTTAGAATCCACCAGTAGACAAAACATAAGATTGAATTATAGAGAACAACTTGTTAACCTTGACAGTGGAAAAATAATATAACAAAAAGGGGAGATGAAGGAAGGAAAGATTAATGGAAGAGTAAGTATGCTCCTCATCTTGCATAGTTGGGACTCAAAAAATAAATGTAGTCAAAAGTTGATAAATCAAAAAATAGAAGTTTAAAGTTACAATGCTAACCATAATTATAAACTGTTGATAGTGTTTGCTACCAGGAAGTAGGGAGAAAGACTTCTGCTTTTCATTTTATATCCTTTGGTAGCTATTGAAAATTTTCTCTTAACATATGTATGCAATGTGTATGTATATTTGTGTGTTTTAAGAAAAGCTTTGTAGAACAACATATAGAGCACCTAACTTTAAAATCTAATTTCAGGAATTCCTTAAGTTGCCAATTGGTTGAAACTCAGGCCCTGGTGGGCAAATTAAGCCTGGCTAGTTTCAGGCTCTCCTCTTCTGCTTGCTGTTCCTTTGCTGGATAAGTCTGGCAAAGGGAGGAGAGAAGCGGTCACTTGGATTTGCCTGCCAAGTAGATGTGAGCACCGCTTGGTGGTTTCTAAGAAGAGGGCACGTGGCTATGGAACAGGAAAGGAATTGACTGATGGAGACAGACTGGAGAGGACAGTTTTCTAAATAAATGTAGCAATACATTGTGTACTGAAGCCAGGATCCCTGCTCCACATCAACTCTGAGAACTTTCTTCATCTGTAAAATAGAGATAATAATTCCACCTACGTTATAGGGCTCTTAGGATTTAATGAGTTAATAGATGTAAAGCACTTAGAACAGTGCTTGGCACATAGTAAGTGCTCAATAAATGATTCTGTAAGGGATGCTGTCAAGAAGAAACAAATGGTTGATGTAAATGGAGTCAGGAATTTCACAAGCATTGCCTTGTTTGCAGTTAAAAATATTCTTGTTTTAAAGCAATGTTTCTCAACCCAGACTTCTCATGTCCTCCTTAAATGTGATTTGAAATTTTATATGTACGTATATATATAACTACACCAAAAAAGTAATGGGATCAGTCACTGCTGTTTGAAACCTTGTATATCCCACCACCTCCTCTGACACACACACCAAAATTTCTAATGATCCTGACGCCTTGACGATCACTATTTTAAAGAGTATAATATTAGGAGCCACTGTGAAATGAGCCACACTTCCCAATCGTGTAGACTACAAGGTGAGTGTTATGTGCTGTTGAGTTGGTTCTGACTCATAGCGACCCTACGTACAACGGAACGAAACACCGTCTGGTCCTGTGTCATCCTCACAATCGTTACTATGTTTGAGCCCCTTGTTGCAGCCACTGTGTTAGTTCATCTCATTGAGGGTTTTCCTCTTTTTTGCTGACCTTCCACTTTACCAAGCATGATGTCCTTCTCTAGGGACTGGTCCCTCTTGATACCGTGTCCAGAGTATGTGAAACGAAGTCTCGCCATCCTTGCTTCTGAGGAGCATTCTGGATGTACTTCTTCCAAGACAGATTTGTCTGTTCTTCTGGCAGTCCATGGTATATTCAGTAGTCTTCGCAAACACCATGATTCAAGAGCATCAATTCTTCTTCCGTCTTCCTTATTCATTGTCCAGGTTTTGCAGGCATATGAGGTAATTGAAAATACCAGGGCTTGGGTCAGGTGCACCTTGGTCTTCAAGTTAGCCTCTTTGCTTTTTAACACTTTAAAGAGGTCTTTTGCAGCATATTTGCCCAATGCAATGTGTCGTTTGATTTCTTGACTGCTGCTTCCATGGGCATTGATTGTGGATCCAAGTAAAATGAAGTCCTTGACAACTTCAGTCTTTTCTCTGTTTATCATGATGTTGCTTATTGGTCTAGTTGTGAGGATTTTTGTTTTGTTTATGTTGAGGTATAATCCATACTGAAGGCTGTAGTCTTTGATCTTCATCAGTAATGCTATATGTAGATGACACAACCTTGCTTGCTGAAAATGAAGAGGACTTGAAGCATTTACTGACAAAGATCAAAGACTGCAGCCTGCAAGTTTAGGGAAGGGCAAAATAAGCAGCTTCAAAAAAGTCTTAATAAAATTTTTTTTAGTCATTTAGTCAACATTAAAATTGAATACAGACATATCCTGTAGAATGCCTGCCTTGCTCTAGTAGAACATCCTTGTTTTTTAATAACCAAGCTTCACAGAATGTATGCAGTATTACCTTCCAATCTACATATGGAGAAAAAGAAAAAACTAAAATTAACAGTGGAATAGGAAATGCTACAGGAATTGAGAAGAGGATTGGAAAATCACATCTGGGACAGTCAGAAAAAGTGTCCATAGGAAATGGAAGAGACTTGAGTGGGAAGGCAAGCTTTAGATCAGTGGAGAGTAAGAAGGATTCCAGGCAGGGGCATGAAGAAGCAAAGACATGGGTATGGGAAAGATCAAGGTCTATAAACAAATTACAGTGTAAGAAGAGAGCTGGCAAATATTAAAGACAAATAGCCCACCATAGAAAGCCCATACCTGGAATATTTTTTTAGGCCAAAATCATATTCTGAACAACCAGGTAAAAATAGCAAGCAGTTGACAGTGTGGTACTGAAATTTAGGTGAGATCAAGGCTCTAGTGACCAAGATATGAGAATCATCAATATAGGGGTGATTTAAAAAAAAAAAAAAAAAAAAACCATTGCTGTCAAGTCAGTTCTGACTCATAACGACCCTAAAGGACAGAGTAGACCTGCCCATAGGGTTTCCAAAGAGCGCCTGGTGGATTTGAACTATCAACCTTTTTGTTTAGCAGCCTGAGCTCTTACCACTGCACCACCAGGGCTATAGTTCCTAATATTTCCTTATCCTTTTCATCTCTGTAACAGCTGTAGTGATAGCTAACCCCTCTTTGGTTCCTGATACTGATAATTTGTACTGTCTTTTATTTTCTTGATTAATCTAGCTAGGAATTTGTATTCATTTCCTGTGGCTGTCTGCAAACTTAGTGGCTTAAAAGAACAGAAAATTATTTTCGCTTAGTTCTGGAAGCCATAAGTCCAAAATCAGCTTCACTGGGCTGAAATTAAGGTGTCAGCAGGGCTGTGCTCCTTCTGCAGACTCTAGAGGAGAATCTGTTCCTTGCCTCTTCTGCTTCTGGTAGGTGCCAGCATTCCTTGTTTGTGACTGCGTCACTCTAATCTTCAAGGCCAACATCTTCAAATCTCTCTCTGCTCCCTTTTCACAGTGCCTTCTCCTCTGTGCATAAAATCTCCCTCTGCCTTCTTTTATAAGGACAGATGTGATTGCATTTAGGGTGCGCCTAGATAATGCATGTTAAGCTCATTTCAACATCCTTAATCTCACCTGTAAAGACCCTATTTATGCCATATAAGGTAACATTCACAGGTTTCAGAAGGTTAAGATGTGGATATCTTTTGGGGAGCCATTTTCAGCCTGCCACAAGTTTATAATTTTGTTGATTTGTTGTTGTTGTTCCAAGAACCAGTTTTTGACTTTGTTGATTTTCTCTTTTTGTGTGTTTTCTATTTCATTGATTTCTTTTCTAATTTGAGTTTACTTTGCTCTTTTTCTAACTTAAAGTAGAAACTTAGGTCATTGAATTTAGACCTGTCTTAGTCATCTAGTGCTACCATAGCAGAAATACCACAAGTAGATGGTTTTAATGAAGAGAAATTTCTTTCCTCACAGTCAAAATAGGCTAAAAGTCTAAATTCAGGGTGTCAGCGCCAGGGGAAGGCTTTTTCTCTCTGTCGGCCTTTTTCTCTTCAGTGTTCCCCTGGACTAGGAGCTTCTCGGTGCAGGGACCCTGGTCCAAGGGACGTGCTCTGCTCCTGGCACTGCTTTCTTGATGGTATGAGGTCCCCCTGTCTCACTGCTCACTTCTGTCTTTTATATCTCAAGAGATTGCCTCAGGACACAATCCAGTCTTGTAGATCAGGTCCTGCCTTACCAACACAACTGCCACCCATCCTCTCTCATTAACATCATAGAGGCAGGTTTACAACATGCAGGAAAATCACACAGTACCAGGAATTGTGGCCTAGCCAAATTGATACACACATTTTTTGGGGGACATAATTCAAACCATGACAAGACATTTTCTAATGTAATCAGTTAAGGCTGTTGTATTATTTTTCTGTACTACATAAAGAGTAAACATTTATTATCTCAAAATTTCTGTGTGTCAGGAGCAGTCTGGGCACAGTTTAGCTGGGTACTCTGCTTAGGATTTCACAAAGCTTCAATCATGGTGTCAGCCAGGCTGTGTCCTCATCTGGAAGCTTGACTGGAGAAGAATCTGCTTCCAGGTTCACTCCAGTTGTCGGCAGAATTCATTTCCTTGCGGTTGTAGGACTGAGGGCCCCAGTTTCTTGTTGGCTGTTTGACTGGAAACCATCTGTGGTTCCTTGCCACATGGCCACTTACTTCATGAAGCCAGCAAGGAGAATCTCTGGAGTGAGTCTCCTAGTCTTATGTAATGTGGTATAATCAAGGGAGTGACATCCTGTCACCTTTTCCATATTCTGTTGATTAGAAACAAGTTATATGTCCTGCCCACACTCAAGGGGAGGGGATCACCCAAAGGTGGAAACACCAGGAGGCAAGAATCATGTGAGGGGCCACCTTAGATTTTGTCCGCCACAACTTATAAAATTCTCTCTAGCCATTGTTTTAGCTGCATCCTACAGATTTTGATATATTGTATTTTTATTATCATTCAGTTCAAAATATTTTTTATTTAATTTCTTCTTTGACCTGTGGATTACTTAGAAGTGTGCTATTTAATTTCCAAATATTTAGGGATTTCAATCCTTTAAAATTTACTGAGATTTGTTTTATGGCCCAGCATATGATCTGTCTTGGTAAATATACCATGTGCACTTGAAAAGAATATATATTCTGCAGTTGTTGACTATCATTTTCTACAAATATCAGTTAGATCAAGGTGGTTGATAGCATGGTTCAGATCATGTATATCCACTCTTTTTTTGTCCATTCCTGGCAGTTGCTGAGTGGGCCTGTTAAAATCTTCACCTATGATTGTGGGATTGACCATTTCTTCCTTTAATCTTGTTCATTTTTCTTTTACATATTTTGAATCTCTCTTATTAGGTGCTTTGCATGAGTTAATGATTGTATGCCTTCCTGATGAATGTATTCTTTTACCATTATGAAATCTCCCTTTTTATTTCTGATAATACTCTTTGTCTTGAAGTCTATCATGTCTGATATTAGTATAGCCACTTCAGCCTCCTTATGCTTCCTTTTACCTTTTTCATTCCATTTATCAAAGTGCATCTCAGGTAGACAGCATATAGTTGGGTCTTGCTTTTTATCCATTCTGACAATTTCTGCCTTTTAATTGGAGTAAACGTGTATTAATATTTAATGTAATTGTTGACATTTTGGGGTTTAAGCTTACCATTTTATTATTCTTTTTGTCTCTATTTTGTTTATTTGCTTATTTGTTCTTTTTTGCCTTCTTTCTTGTCCTCTTTTGGATTATTTGAATAGTTTTTACAATTTCATTTTAATTTACATATTACCTTTTTGGCTCCTTTTTTTTTTAGTGGTTGCTCTAGGGATTACAGTGTGCATCCTTAACTTTTCCCAGTCTTCTTAGAGTTATATTTACCACTTCACATAAAATGTACAAGCCTTGAAATCTTATAAGTCCATTTATTCCCTCTCCTTTATATAAGTAATACATCTATATACTTAAAAATTCCGTAAGACAGTGTTATAAGTTTTTGCTTTCAACAGTGGTAAGTGTTTTTAAAGAAATAGAGAAAAAAAATCTTTTATATTATCCAGATGTTTACCATTTTTGATGTTCTTCATTCCTGACTGGAATTTTCATTTGCTATCATTGACTTCTCATGTTTTGAATGATATACCATATCAATTCATTTGTCTCTACCTCATTCTTTTTAATGACTGCGTATTATTCCATTGTGTGACTCTATGATAATTTATTCTTCTTTAAAAAAAAAAAAAAAACTATCCTCTTTTCCAGAATATGCTTTTAAGGCTATTAACCAGGGTGGCCTTACATCAGTAGCTGTCAGAGGGAAAGACTGTGCAGTAATTGTCACACAGAAGAAAGTACCTGTAAGTAATACGGCCCAAATAGCCAATTCTTGTGGAATAAATGTAAGAATTTTTCATGAGTTTGTACAAAGATATTTTATTGCCTGTCTAAGTTAACATTATGTTTGCTTTGACGATATTTTCCCATCAGTCATTCAAGAAGTATTTATTGAGCATCTATATACAATTTAGTTGAGGAGACAGAATTAACACATTGAACGTTGTGGTATGTTTGTAAGCACAATAGGATCTCAAGGTCTTTTGTCATAGGGACAAGACAAGCTTTGGTGAGATATAGTTCTTGCCCACAGGGAACAGATCATCTAGAAAAGGAAAACAGTTTCCCTCCCCGTTTGTAACAATTGCTTTTAACTGTAAAATGAACGTAAGACATTTATTATTTGTTATAGTTCCATTAAAAAAAAAAAAAAAAACCCCAAACCAAACCCATTGCCTTCGATTCTGACTCATAGTGACCCTATTGGACAGAGTAGAACTGCCCCACAGGGTTTCCAGGGAGCAGCTGGTGGATTCAAACTGCTGACCTTTTGGTTAGCAGTCAAGCTCTTAACCACTGAGCCACCAGGGCTGCTTATAGTTCCATAGCATTGCTTTTTTTAAAGCTAAACAAAGAACTGTGATTTTTTAATTATCTTGATTTATTTTGTTCATTAGGACAAATTATTGGATTCCAGCACGGTGACTCACTTATTCAAGATAACGGAAAACATTGGCTGTGTGATGACAGGAATGACAGGTAATCAACTCAATACCTGCTTAGGTATACAAGCCTTATGTTACTTTCTTCAAATTATTTTTGTGTTTTGTTTTAATTTTAAAGCCCCCTTTAGTGACTTAATGAGTATATTTGTAATCTTCCAAGATGGTTATCTGTGTCTTCAGAGTATTATGAGCTTTTTTAAAATTATAAATATAATGGAATTAGGCCTTTTTGTCACTGCCAGCGCAACTGGGCTAAGGCCTATCTCATAGATGATTTATCTTACTTCAACTATAGTTATTTCAGCTATTTTAGGGGACCTAGCTCAGTATATCTCAAACCTGGTCATGATAACACTTGTTAGCAATGAGTAAGAATTATAAAAATTACTTTGCATTTCTATTTTCTGAAATCAAGGGAAAAATTCAAGACTACCCCTCCCCCACAAAAATCAAGATAAACATTCTCTCTTTTGGCCATTCTAAAAAACCAGGGTCACATAGAAGCCTATGATTCATATTTTTAGGAATAAGTTTCTATTTTTAAAAACAAGTACAATTTCACTGGGAAAGGGATAAGATTTACTGATTTTAAATTTAATGCAAAATTTTTTAAATTAGCCTAGAAAATTCACTGCATGTTTATTTCTGATAATTGTGTTCTTGTTCTTTTGGGAGTTACAAGACACTTGTAGAGACTATTTTGACAGCTGATGAAGGGTTTAGCACAAAAGGGCAGTACAGTATATAAAGCTCAATCTTTTAAAAAATTTTCCTTTTTTTAAGTCATGTCTTTCTGTGCTGAATCATTGGTGGGAGAAAAGGCCAGAGTAGACCACTTCTCCTTTCCTTAACTCATAATGGATATATATATATATATATTTATACATACACATATGATGGGAAAATTGTCTGGCTTTGAGGTTCATTCTTTTCTTCTAAAGAAGTAAACCTATGTTTTTATACTATCAGCTGACAGCAGATCCCAGGTACAGAGGGCTCGCTATGAGGCAGCTAATTGGAAATACAAATATGGCTATGAGATTCCTGTGGACATGCTGTGTAAAAGAATTGCAGATATTTCTCAGGTCTACACGCAAAATGCTGAAATGAGGCCTCTTGGTTGTTGTAAGTATATTGAGGTGTCTCCCAAATGATTGATGAATTAAAATTTTTTTTAAAAGAACATGTTTTTAGTAAGATTTAAGTAACACTTGGTTCTGAACATTAGTTTGGAAATTGTGTAAGATAGGGAAATCTTTATTATAAATCAGAGGTGAAGGATAGGTTTGACAACATTATCAATGTTTTTGACATTTCTTTAAAATTTAGATGCTGTTAGACTTTTATCAAAATATTTCTGAGACTAGACTATGAGACATAAAATGATACTCGTGAAGAGTATGCTTCTTAGCTCAAGCAGATACATGAGACTAAATGGGCAGCTCCTGTCCAGAGGCGAGATGAGAAGGCAGAGAGTGTCAGGAGCTGGTTGAATGGACACGGGAAATCGGGGTGGAAAGGAAGAGTGTGCTGTCACAGTATAGGGAGAGCAACGAGGTCAGATAACAATGTATGTATAAATTTTTGTATGAGAGACTAACTTGCATTGTAAACTTAAAGCACAACAATTAAAAAAAAATAAAATAAAATATGTTTGCGAGAGTGTGTGATTTGAAAGAACCAAGTCCCTGTTAATGGTAGGCTATTGTAAGGTAATGTACTCTTTGGAAATTCTAGACTACTAGTTCCATAAAAATGGCTAAATTCGGCACCTTGACAATGCAGCTGTTTCTTTTCACCAACCTAAAGAACCAGGGTCACGTCGAAGCCTGTGATTCATATTTTTAGAATAAATTTCTATTTTTAAAAACAAGTAAAATTTCATTGAGAAAGGGATAAGATTTACTGATTTTAGAGTTAATGCAGTAAACCAGCCTGGAAAATTAAGTGCATATTTGTTTCTGATGTTGTGTTGTTCCTTTGTGAGAATTAAGACAGTCAATGTAATGGTTTCTCTTTAGCATTCGACCCTGTTGACCTCTCACTTAAAAATTACTTTTCATTTGATTTCTTCAATGATACTCTCTTTTCCTCTGCCTCAGTTTTGTTAGCTCATCCTCTTCTGCTGGTCCCTTAAATGTTGTTGCTCACCAGGGTTCTCTTCTGGGTCCTCCCTTTGGTCTATCTGGGTGATCTCACCCACTTCATGGCTTCATTTACTACCTTCATGCCAATCACTCCCAGATTATCCTTAGCCCAGTCCTCAGTGCCCCACAGACACCTAAAGCTTCAAATCATTCCTATTTTCCTATATTCATCTTCACCTTATCTTTCCTGACCTCCACACCCTTTCACTGGTCATCTGATCAGTCATCAAGTTTTAGATCAATATCTTTTCTGTCTCCATCTCCTTTGTCGTTTCTTTATTGACCATTGCCTTTGCAACCTATCTGATGTACCTGTTTCTTTCCTCGCTTCTCACTCTTTCCTACTTTGTCCTCCGTATTGCTATATGAGTTGCCATTCTAAAATTGAATTTTCATTGTTGTTCCCTAGGAAAAACTGATTCCTCATGGTCTATGGGGTAAATTTCAAACTTCTTAATATGGTGTGCAAGGTCCTTTACAGTTTACTCCCATTAGTTTCTCTTCTACTGCTTTCCTCCCTCATCCAAAGCCCTGCAATATACAGATCTTCTTGTCATCCCTGAGTGCATCCTGCTCTTTTATGGCTCAATGCCTCTGCACATGCTGTTCCTTTTGCCTCAGTTACCCTTCTTACCCTTAGTACCTATAAACTCTGCTCATGTTGCAAGACCTTGCAATAAAGAAGTGTTTCTTGTTTCCTCCAGGCAATAAATGGGTATCTTTTTTTCATGTTGTCCTGTTCTTGTATATATTAAGTCTAATATGTAAAAAAAAATTCAACTCAAGCAGATACCTGATCACTGTCATAGTCAGTAAAATAAGGTTGAAAATTCCTCATTTGTAGACTATAAAACATCTATAAATATGAATAAAGTAGTTGGTTAATACTGCATCTTATATACTAGGACACTATATAAAAGAGGTTCAAATCTAGAATATAAGAAAGCAGGAATTAGGCCATTCCTTACTTAAATGCTTTGTTACCTGCTCTGCTGAGTAGAAAGAAGTTTGACAGTGCTGTTGATTTTACTTGTATGTAATATGATAACATGATTAGGTTCATAGTAACAAAGTTATATGTACATAATTTGAGTTTGGTTTGTATGGACTGCTTACCAGAGTGGTCACAGTAATGACAAGGAGCAGTGTAAAGGTGAGGAAGTTGTCCTTAGATGTGTTTCACTTTGTGTCAGCATTCGCAAAGTGTGTTCTATACACTGTTAGTTCCCTGGAACCTTAATAGGCATTTCTTAATTAAATTAAATTTAAAAAAAAAAAATTTAAGAACTGCTAAGTTAAATAGGTCAGCTTACAGCAGAACAATTTAGAACAGTTAATATGCTGTTGTATACTATTTGTCTCAAAAAGGGGTATATGAAAAGTGTGTTTTCCAAGTTTGTTTGACCAGGTAATGTCTTGAGAGATTAGGGTTCAAAGGTAATAGCAAGGATTGGAAAATTGTTTTGCAAATTACATTTGCGATAATACAGACTGTTTCTTAATGTCTGTGATAAATCCTTGGGTGAAATAGAAGTTTGTTACCTAATTTATCTGTAATGATAACTTGTATTTTGTATATCAGTTTTTTTAAAGCAAAACACATTAAAATTGATGGTCAGAGTAATGATTAACAACACCAAAAAGTACAAGATATTTCATTAGGTATTTTTTTTTTCTTTTTAGGTATGATATTAATTGGTATAGATGAAGAACAAGGCCCTCAGGTGTACAAGTGTGATCCTGCAGGTTATTACTGTGGGTTTAAAGCCACTGCAGCAGGAGTTAAACAAACTGAGTCAACCAGCTTCCTTGAAAAAAAAGTGAAGAAGAAATTTGATTGGACATTTGAACAGACAGTTGAAGTAAGCCAGCAAAAAGAGCTCACGTTTTTATGCTGTATAGAATATTCAGGATTTTTGCATAATTGACAGTTCATAAAGGCTATTCCTAGGTAGCATCATGAGATCCAAGTTTTGTCAGCTTAATAGAAAACTGATGTCCTTCAGCTTACATGGGAACAATGAGGACTGCTTTATTCACTTAATTATCTCATTTCATAATGTATTTGAAACAGCTTTCAACAAAACAGATGATAAAATGGGAAAATATAAATAAGAATAGGAATCAAGACCTAAGCCCAAAGACCTGTATGGTTGCTGTGGTTGAGACTTAAGCTTCCTGGTAGCAAAGTGAAAAGAGAGAGTCAGTAATACTGCTGTATGGTCCTAAAGGAAAAACAGCCATACACCAAATTCTTAGGGAAGCAAACCTCTCCCTAGTGTAAAAATATACTCACAGGATGATTTGGCAGAGAAATTTTATCTAGGATGCAAAAGTAGAGCTAGCTTTCTGCAGAGTTCATGAGGGTATTAATCATTTTGGTTGGGAAATTTTAAATTGACAAATCCATTGCCATCGAGTGTATTCTGACTCATAGCAAACCTACAGGACAGGGTAGAACTGCCCCATAGGGTTTCCAGGGAGCAGCTGGTGAATTTGAACTGCCAGCCTTTTGGTTAACAGCTGAACGCTTCACCAGTGCACCATCAGGATTCCTTAAAATTGACAAGCTAACATTCTTATATAAATATTTAGTAATTTTACACTGTAAAGAGGCCTCTTATTTACCGCTAAGAAATTAAAGCAAAAATTTTAGTAGATTTTGAATGTGAGGGTCTGGGATAAAGGCATTCTGAAGACTAACAACATGCTTCTGATAAATGACAAAGGGAAAATTGCCATAAGCTTCTTTTATGTTTGATTGACAGTGTATCTTACTTATACTAACAGGAGATGTAATGCCAATTCTCACCTGGGAGTTACTGTGCCCTGTTTAAATGTTCCTTAAAGGTTTTGTTGTTTCGTTTTCCTAATAATTGCAGCTCATAATTAGTTACATAAATAATAATCACATCAGATACTAAATCACATAAAACATTCTCAAATTGTTACTACCGTACATTCCCTGAAGGTGGAGATTCGTCTTTGTCCTATCCTCCTTCCCTTCCCCTGACACCGCAAGTGCTGTCATTGTGCCCAGTGTGTAATGATCATCAAACAAACCGTTTTGTCTAAACCATCCTATTTTGTTTGATGGACCACTTTAATTTGTGGCTTAACTTGGTAGAAACAAGTTTCTTGTCATTGGCAGGTGACATATTAGAGCTAAGCAATCTATTAGTAACGTGGCTATAGAACTGCATCACTGGAACATGGAGCAAAAATGGATAGCAAATGATTAACTCATACGTAATTTAAATAAACTTGGAATGAGAAGTTCTTGGAATCTCTGAAAAATACCATATCCTGTTGATATTTTTTTCAGACTGCAATTACATGCCTGTCTACTGTGCTATCAATTGACTTCAAACCTTCAGAAATTGAAGTTGGAGTAGTTACAGTTGAAAATCCTAAATTCAGGTGAGTCATATTGTCAGCCATGTACTTAAAGAAGTTTGCCAAGTGCTAAAGTTCCAGGCTAGGAAGGTGGAGATCTGGGTCCATTTGTCCTATAACTTGGGGGAAAAAAATTTCTTGAACTATGCTTACAGCTTTTTTCTTTAGCACCTGAGAGATCTGTTTTAAAATTGATTGGATGTTTCTTTTTAAGACAGACATAACAGTTTTTCTCCTCATTTCAGAGTGATTTTATATATCACAAAGGGTGACATAAAATAACCATTTTTAGATACGGAATAAAGAAAGCATAAGTGTTTTTATATTTTAAGATCAATAGTAATTCAAGTCCCAGTGTAGTAGTTTTCAAGTTTTTCAGGTAGAGCTTTGATTATTCAGTGGTTATTTAAGTGGAGCTTTGAAGAGCAATATGAAATATTGATATACATCAGACCTTTATCTGGAGATCTTTGGGAAACCCCGAATTTTGAGTATAACTAATTGAATTGCAGATGCTGGATGCTGGTCTGTTCTTACTCAGAGACTAACTCCCACACGTCAGCCTTAACAGCTTCCATGATTCAAATCCATACCGGGTGCTTAATATGTATCAGCTTATTCAGTCCTCCCAGCAGCCCTATGAGGTGCTTCACATACCATGGACCAAGATGCTGTTGTTTATTAGTGAAAAATATTCAGTTAAATTTACAGATGTAAGGAACTGCTGCAAGGCATTTTAACTACTCTTTGTACCTACTCTTAGATCACAACCGTAAGGACACATGGGCATGGTTGGGAAAAAAGGTGGCAAACTAAGTTTAACCAGACCTTGAAGACTTTTTTGTTAAGAAACATTTTTTTCTAGTTTGTTCTTTTTGTTGCCTGCAGGTGAGTGATATAAACATGAAAGATTTAAGAAAAATTCATAAGATTAAAAAAAAATGACAACAACCAGAATTGAGTCCATCCTAACATTTTTTTTTCCTGTAGGAAAAGATTGCCTTTTTTTTTCCTTTTTAGCAGTAAAATTTCAGTAGGAGCAGTTTACAAGTCCCTCTAAAGAACCGGAAAATAGTTCTTGTTTTCTTGTCTAGCCTGAGACACTCTGATAGTAACCTTTAAAATGTTTAGCTCCATTGATTACTTAAATAAATGGATAGAAACCAAAGATCCTATTTCTCCAAAAAGCCCTGTATCATTTAAAAAATTTTTATAGTAAGTATACTTAAATAAAGGAGCCCTGGTGGCACGGTGGTTAAGCACTCTGCTGCTAACCAAAAGGTTGGCAATTCGAACCTACCAGCTGCTCCATGGGAGAAAGATGTGGCAGTCTGCTTCCATAAAGATATCTAGCCTTGGAAACCCTGTGGGGCAGTTCTGCTCTGTCCTGTAGGTCACTATAAGTTGGAATTGCCTCGATGGCCGTGGGTTTGGGTTTTTTGTTTTTTTAACTAGAATATATTGCATAAGCATCAACATCTATATAAACTACTTATATTGCCTCCAGTTGCACTAAAAAAATGTGACAAATTTCACTTTTTTAAAAGTCAGATGGTAATAGGTCACCTTAACAAGGTTACCAAGCATCTGGTTCCTTTCTGGGCAGACATCATTTAGAAAATATCATGTGTTCAACATGGAGTGCCTTTTGCTACTAGAGTATTCAGAGAATTACAATTTTATGTTCATGGATTTCTACTGCTGAACCTGGGCAACTTCTTTTTTTTATCTACTTAAAATTCTCAATGAATTGTCTTCTCTTAGCTGATATGGACTTGAGTTATACTAGGTATAAAGGCATTTTTTACATAGGGTCTGAAATAGACTACATTATGTGTACTTTAGCTTTATATTACTCAGTTTAAATATTTTCTATCGTAGCTGCAACTGAAGGGTTTTGTTTTCAGAAGACCGAGTTCTGGATCCGATGTCAAAGAAGTAAATATTTTTGTTTATCGATAGAGTTGATGTGTCTGGGAATTCCTTCAGAATAATCTGAAGAAGTAGTGGTAGGCATATAGATTTAAAGAGATTGGCCATAAATTGGTAATTGATGAAGTTTTTTGATAGATACACAGTTTTTTGATAGAGAGGGATTCTTTATACTAACTACTCTATTTTTGTATTGGTTTGAAATTTTCCATAATAAGAAGCTTTTAAAAACTAAGTCATTGTTTTTTCTTTTTCCCTTTTACTTTTTAGGATTCTTACAGAAGCAGAGATTGACGCCCACCTTGTTGCTCTAGCAGAAAGAGACTAAACCTAATCAGTTTACCAAATCCATAATGCCACTTGCTGGTGTGTTTGGTAAAAACAAACCAACATTATGGAGGCCCCTGGATTGAAAAAGGAACCTCTCCCACTCCTCCTACCCCTGAAGTGGTTAGGACTCTGTATAAATAAAAACAGTGCTTTTGGAAAATAATAGCATCCTGTCTTGTTTACCTCCAGTTTTAAGTATTAAGCCTTTAGTACATGCAAACTTTTAACTGTTCACCATCCTCAAATTATAACTTTATTCATTTTGTTTACAGAGATGCAGGTTTCCTTGGCTTCAGGAACTTTAATAGCTAGAAATTTAAACTCTGGCTATGTGGCATAATTAATAAATAGCAAAATAAAATTTTGCTTTATTATTGTGTTTTAGGTGAAAATTTACAGTGCTAATTAGTTACTCATTCAAAAATTTATACACAAATTGTTTTGTAACATTGGTCGCATTCCCCGCCAGTGTGTCAGCACACTCCTTCTTTCCCTTTACACCCCGGGTTCCCCATGGCCATGCATCCAGGTTTCCTGTCCTTCCTGCCTTCTCGTCTTTGCTATTGGACAGGTGTTGCCCATTCAGTCGCCTATACTTGATTGAACTAAGAAGCACGTTACTTAGACGTGTTGTTTGTTTTATAGGGCTGTCTAATCTGGCTGAAAGGTGGACTTCAGGAGTGGCTTCAGTTCTGAGTTAGCAAGGTCTCTGGAGGCCATAGTTTTGGGGGTCCCCCCAGTCTCTGTCAGACCTGTAAGTCTGGTCTTTTTTTGTGAATTTGAATTTTGTTCTACATTTTTCTCCTGCTCTGTCCAGAACCCTCTATTGTGATCCCTGTCAGAGTGGTCAGTGGTGGTAGTTGGGCACCGTCTAGTTCTGGGCTCAGCCTGGTGGAGGCTGTGGCTCATGTGATCCCTTAGTCCCTTCGACTGATATTTTCCTTGTATCTTTGGTTTTCTTCATTCTCCTTTGCTCCAAACATGAGGGGACCAATAGATATATTTTAGATGGTTGCTGACAAGCTTTTAAGACCCAGGCGATAACCCAAGTAGGACATAGAACATTTTCTTTATGAAATACGTTATGCCAGTTGACCTAGATGTCCCCCAAGACCATGGTTCCCAGCCCTCAGTCCCAGTAACTCGGTCCATCAAGGTGTTTGGATGTGTCTAGGAAGCTTCTGTGGCTTTGCCTTCATCAAGTTGTGCTGACTTTCCCTATATTGGGTATTGTCTTTCCCTTCACCAGAGTTAACATTTGCCTACTGTCTAGTTAGCGATTTCTCCTCCCCACTCCTCCCATCCCTTGTAACCATCAAAGATTGTTTTTTTCTGTGTGTAAACCTTTTCTTGAGTTGTTGGAGTTGTTGTAATAGTGGTCTCATACAATATTTGCCATTTTGTGATTGACTTAATTCACTCAGCATAATGCCGTCCACATTCATCCATGTTGTGAGATGTTTTGCAGATTCATCATTGTTCTTTATCTTTGTGTAGTATTCCATTGTGTGTTTGTACCATAATTTGTTTATGCATTCATATGTTGATGGGCACTCAGGTTGTTTCCATCTTTTTGCTATTGCAAATGCTGCTGCAGTGAACATGGGCATGCATATGTGTGTTTGTGTGTGACAGCTCTTATTTCTCTAGCATATATTCCTAGGAGTGGGATTACTGGATCGTATGGTATTTCTATTTCTAGCTTTTTAAGGAGGCACCATATCGTTTTCCGTTTTGCATTCCCACCAGCAGTGCATAAGAGTTCCAGTCTCCCCACAGCCTCTCCAACATTTGTTATTTTCTATTTTTTTGATTAGTGCCAGTTATATTGGTGTGAGATGGTATCTTATTGTACTTTTGATTTGCATTTCTCTAATGGCTAATAATCTCGAGCATTTCCTCATGTGTCTGTTAGCTGCTTGAATGTCTTCTTTGGTGAAGTGTCTGTTCATATCCTTTGCCAATTTTTCAGTTGGATTATTTGCCTTTTTGTTGTTGAGGTGTTGAAGTATTCTATAGATTTTAGAGATTAGACCCTTGTTGGATGTCATAGCCAAAAACTTTTTCCCAGTCTGTAGGTTCTCTTTTTACTTTTTTGGTGAAGTCTTTTGATGAGCGTAGTGTTTAATTTTCAGGCTCTCCCAGTTATCTAGTTTATCTTCTGGTGTTTGTGCATTGTTAGTTACAGTTTGTATTGAATTTATGCCATGTATTAGGGCCCCTAGCGTTGTCCCTAATTTTTCTTCCACGATCTTTATCATTTTAGGTTTTATATTTAGGTCTTTGATCCATTTTGAGTTAGTTTTTGTGTATGGTATGAGGTATGGCTACTGTTTCATTTTTTTTTAACAGATGGACATCCAGTTTTGCCAGCACCATTAAAATTCTGCTTTTGAAACTTTCTCTGATGGTAAATTGGCATGCAAGGCAAGGCCTTTATTTTACATTTCCTCATTCAAGCAGGATGTTCCTGAGTTTGGACTGCAAGTTCCATTGAAGGCTTTAAATATAATAAAAAGATTAGCATGATTGATGTTCAGCAGTTTTGAGATAATACATTTAATGTGTACTCAGTAAAGAATAGAAATTGTAGTTACTTTCAGGAAACAAAAGGCTAGAAGGTTGTAGAATATTTGTTATTTTCTGTGCTGCCTTAAGGTTAAGTATTTAAAGCATCAGTTAAGTAATTGGTTTGCTGTAAAGTTTGGAGAGACCATCAATAACAATGTTCAGGAAAAAAGTCCAAACTGTATACTCAGAATAATCAGTTTTTTAAAATGTACGGAATTAAGTTGTTTTTTAAAATTCTAGAGTGTTTTCCCTGGTGACGTGAACCACTAATTGTTAGCGATGATCCAAAAATCTAGGCAAGACTAAGGTCAATAAATTTTATGTCCTCATTTGCACTGGGTGAGACTAGTGCTGCTGGCATTGCCTCACACAGGTGAGTGTGGCTGCTGGGCTAGTAGCAATCACTGGAGTCAGAGTTGCTCCTGTTTCCACGGCCACCAGGCCTGCAGACAAGGGGAGGCAATGTGAACATGTGACCACTAGGAGCAGGAAACTTCATCGACCACATCCTCTTCAGAGCTGAGTCATGAGTTGTAAAGTTTCCTAGCAGGGAAGTAGGGTTCTTCCAGTTCAGGGGCTGCTGCTCTGGGAATACCCATCCAAATCCATTAGGTTCTCTAAAGGTGTTGCCATCATTTTGAAAGTGGAGTCTTTTACTCCCCTAAACAAACAACTTCTACATCCTTAAGCCTTGACTGATTTCACCCCTCTGGAGTCATGCATGAGAGACTAGCAAATAACTTGGTTTTTCTGTAAGAAGATATCTTTTAGGGATAGAAAACTAAAAATCTAATTTATTAGAAAAATTTATATTCTTTCTTTACATTATAGTACAAAATTAAGTTCTAGATGAATTAAGGATAAAACAATTTTAAATAAGTATATTTAATTGGTTGCTATATAGTCGTCCCTTGGTGTCCACGGGGGATTGGTTCCAGGAGTGCCCCCCATACAAAAATCCAAGGATGCTCAAGTCCCTTGTATAAAACGGCATAGTATTTGCATATAAGCTACACACATTTACACATCCTCCTATATACTTTAAGTCATCTCTAGATTACTTATAATACCTCTAGATTACTTATAATACCTAATACAATGTAAATGCTATGTAAATAGTTGTTGTACTGTTTTGTTTAGGGAATAATGACAAGAAAAAAAGTCTTCTTCCGAATATTTTTGATCCGTGGTTGGTTGAATCCGCAGATGTGGAACCTGTGAATACGGAGGGCCAAATGTACTTAAAACAACTGGAAGAACCAGAAGGAAAAAGACCAATGTATGTGAAAATTAAATACTCTAATTCTGTTTGTTTTTAACACAACCTAGAATGAATAACAAAGAGTTAACGCAGAAATATACAAATGCTAAAAAAATGCATAAAATCTTTACCCAAGGGGTATTTTGATAAACTAATAAGAAATATAAAAATACCGTTGAGAATTGACAGAGGGATATACCCAGACATTTATGAATGTGGAGCTATTTGGATAAACACCTGGCTTTCTTTCCCTTGATACCCATTTTTCATAAAGTATTCTTGCACATTATTCGCCAAATTCAGGATTCAAACTTATGCCACAACCAAATTACTACATTAAGGATCTTCAGGATCTACCTTAAAGAGTCAGAAATTCTAAGGCTAAATATGTTCTGATGATCTACCTTGCTTACAAAATACAATTTAAAAAATCCAAAGTTTAACAGCTAACATCATAATGGTAAATTAATTAAGAGGTATTGAGAGAAGAAGTTAAAATGATAATTTGCTGTTAGGTTGTCTACCTAGAAAACCAAGACAATCACCCAACAAAGCATTAACTTAATTAAAGCAGGCCCTATGCTAAGATAGATGGTATCTCCTTTAAACTATTTTAAGGTTTAAATTCAGGTCCCTAACTGTCCACAGTTCCAAAATTCAAGAAGCTGTAAAAGGTAACAGCAAAACCTGGCCTGAACTGACGTAAGGCCATTTGTTCTTTGTTTATCACACTTTATCTCCTTCATCTCTGCAGAAATGTTAATGTGTTTGATAACAGGGTGCTGCCTTAGAAGAGTTACATAATACATGGTTTATACACCGTATTACCTTTCTAAAGTTGAAAATGTTTTAAATTCCAAAATGCATCTGGCCCCAGGCTTTTAGATAAGGGATCATACTAAAACCAAAAACCAAACCTGTTGCCATGGAGTTGGTTCCAACTCATAGCGACCTTATAGGACAGAGTAGAACTTCCCCATGGGGTTTCCAAGGAGCGGCTGGTGGATTGAAATCGCTGACCTTTTGGTTAACAGCCGAGTGCTTAACCAGTGCACCATCAGGGCTCCAAGGGACCATAGACATACACTATTATTATGCCTCTAGAGCAGGTCCCTGGGTCATGCAATCAACGACTAACCTAAAGGTTGGCAGTTCAAACCCACTCAGCAACGCTGTGGAAGAAAAGCTTGCTGATCTGCTTCTGTAAAGATGACGGCCAAGAAAACCCTATGGAGCACAGTTCTAGTCTGTAACACATGGGGTCACCATGAGTCAGAATTGACTCGACGGCAATAGGGGACAAAAAATAGCAGGTGAAGAAACAGCTCATCGAGTT